CTAAACGAATCACCACTAGGTCGCCCGCTTTTTCCCGCGCTTTGGGTTGTTTGCTTATTTTTACTTGGAGTTCTCATTGGCTCTTTTAAGTCTTTTCCTCTCTTCTGATTGGCCATTGCGATTACTTTGGTTTTGGATTTACCACTTTCTGTGGAAAAGCGCTTGAACGCAGGCACATTCCTGTAGAAGACTTCATTGTATACACACATGGAATTAAATCGAAAAAAGGACTACTGGAACTTTTGATTATTTTTCAGCCGATTTGTTCAAGTGGTAGTAAGTGGAATCAATCCCATTGATCTTGTCATCTCGGCTCCTCAGCTGGTCATCACCAACTGCTCTTCAGTGAAGGTCACACCTATGCACAGCTCTGTGGAATATGTGAGTGTTTCATTATTTCTAATTATTCTCAGAATTTTCCTTTCCTGTTTCTTGATCTGTATCTTTGATTTGATACTTTTTAGATAATCGTCAATAATCAAGAGGTATCCTTCCTCTGGAAAGTCGATTGTAAGAAAGGTAACTTTTTTTTTTTTTTCAATTTTAAACAAGAAGCTATAGGGAGCTTATATTCTGGCCGTAATTGCGTTTCAGAGGGAACAAATTGCTTTACGCCAATTAAAACGGCCACATAGCGCCTATTGTGCTTTTTCCTGCACAGGAAAAACCAAACAGAATTTCTGATTGTGGCCCCTTTACGGCTAGAATAATAGTCCTATAAGATGTGTAAGCAAGTGTGTTGTGTACAGTGTTAGTTATGACGGCTAAACTTAGTGATTCCACGGGAGGAAATGTTAACCTTAATGTTAACCTTTCCGTAAGGTCAATACAACGATTTTTTGCCGTAAGTTTCTACAATTCTCTTCAATGTTATAATCGCCTGTTTTTCTATGCTTTTAGTCGGTTTGAAGGGGAACATTTTGTATTACATTTATGCTTTTGTTATCTCACGAATTCTTGTTAGACAAGGAAGTTCGATTTCCTTTTTATAGTCGCGATGAACGGATGCAAAATTTGTTGGGCTTGGTAAACATATCATATTAGCGTTTATTATTTCAGTCTTCTGAAGAACAATTACGGAAATGCACGCTATGTTTTGTTTATTTCGACAGGTTCAGTGTCGGAGCTCGAGTGCGAGTTTAAAACGTCGTTTTCACCAAAGGAGACTACGGTAGGATTGTAAATTAGTCAGGGATAGCGTTAAATCAATGGAGATATTGCCACAAACGTTTTCGTTCACTGACCTAATCGTGTAATATTTTTTTTGTTTGGGTCATGCGGTGACCTGCTGGTTGGAAGCGCGATGGAGTCTGAGGCGAGAGCGAGGAGCGATTGGATGGAGAGGGCTTGAGTCTAGTGGGAGTCATGAAGAATTGATACAAAGAAGAGGATCCCCTACAGCTAGCATCCCTTTCGGCAGGGGTAGAATACTTCCACGCGCTTCATGCTATAGAATGAAGGATAAGTGCGGGTATTGAGGGTCACTAGGTTGGCAAGACTTATTATAATGAAAATACAAAGTGATTTTAGTGGTCACAGCTGCCTATTAAACCTTCACTGGCCGCTTATAACTAATGTTATTAAAACCCCTGCCTTATGCTATACTCACTCTCATTTTTGACTCTGTCTCAAAATTTGTCGTGACCGCTTCCATGCCTTCTCAACCTTGGGAATGCATTCTTTGTTCATTCCTTACTCTTTATTTTCGGCGCTTTGTCTCCGAATTTATCTTTATCGTTTCTGCTTATTTTCTGTAGGACAGCATTCTTTTCTCAACGGAGAAGAGGACTTATCTCTACGACTTCAGCGTGGTTAATACTCAGGTAAATACTGGGGTTTTTGTGACTCTGTCAAGACTGAGTGTGTGCGAAAGTTAAAACTACAACAACCAAATGTAATTCAAACTGACAATTGATTTTTGTGAAATAAAATGACTTAGGTGTATTTTGAAAAATTAATTTAAAGGAAATTGTGTCAAAAAGAACAAATTTTGTACAAAGTTTTTGAACCGACAAAGAATAATGCAACTTGAGGAATTCATGAACCGCAATAACTTTTCTGATGTCCCAACCCTAAGTATCCCGTTTTCCTTCCAGACATTATACACCATAAGTTCGAGAGTAGAGCCTGCGGAGGATTCCGGGAAACTTTATGCAGGTTCGACTTGCAAGTGGCACGTCACTTTTACAAGGTTATTAGACGAAGGTACTCCAGATACTTCACAACTCATGTACGATGTCGACTCCGATACAAACACGTGGGCCGTAAACGGACGCAAAAACGGTGTTCTGTCCTTACCGACGGGTGTCATGGCAACGAGTGACGTTGTTCTTAGTGTGATACCGCAGACGGGGGGGAACTTAGCAATGCCGGGAATAAAGTTAATGAAGTATGTCGAAAAGGAAGCGACATCGCCGCAAGGGAAGAATATCGAGGGCGCAGGTGTGAACGCGTCCGAGTCGCTTTCAAATCAGCAGTCCCCTCTTATTTTTCCGTTTTCCTGCGGTCAGGTGTATAATAAGACAGCGGCAGTTCGCGTTTGCGTTTTGCCGAGCAATAATCCTGATCTTGCATGGATATGAGGCGACCGTGAATACAAAACAAATGTTTAGTAGAGTTTGGAACTGATTTAACAGTCAAAAACTATAAACGGTCCTTCCGGGAGTTTAACGAATCATTAATATTTTTCAAAATCATTATTATTGTTGTTATTATAATTTATTCTCTCTGGCAACCCTTGGGGATGTTTCTTCCTCCTAATCTCATTTAAAAAAAAAAAAATGAGTGTGAAACGTTTCCCTACAATTTGTATAGTTGTATCTGGTCGTCAAATTATTTCATGTGGTTTTCCGGGCCAGGGGTTTAAAACCAGGTAATGCTAATTGTTCGCCCGTATTCAGTTATTGTTCCCTGTGATTGGTAAATTGTTTTATAAATTATGAAAATAAAAACAAACGTTTCTCAGATGAATTAAAGGATTGAACAAATAATGTCTCGAACAAATCATGTCTCGAACAAATCATGTCTCGAACAAATAATGTCTCGAATCACGCCATATGACAAAATTACATCGAGATGATTCCTGAAATGATGTCTATCAACTACTACTCCTTTGAAAGTTTGAAAACAAAATAAGGAGATCCCTCATTTGAACGTTGCTGCTCGAGGCTCGATTTCCGTTGTTTGCTCGAGTCAGGTCTTCGATCTTCCCGACCTCGCTTTCGTGTACAGAGGCTGATAATCGAACCTAAAGGAAGTTATTCGACCGAAATTGCTACGAAAAAAAAGAGCTCTTTCACTTCACGCATCGCACCATTGGGCTTATCTTTAACATAAATGAGAAGATCTAAGATCTGAGTTCGATGTCATTTTCTCACATTCTCTCGGTCAAAACACGTCACAAGCCATCGGAAGGTGTTTTCTCAACTTCGTTCCCAATGGGCGACGCCGGTCGCTACAAATGGGGTTTAATTTTCTTTGCCACCCAAGATCTTGAAGTAGTTTTATTAACGACTGCATGCTCAAACACCAATTACAAAATGAAAAATCTCAAATCACACTGTATGTAGTAAGAAAACCTCTTTCACGTTATGGTAGTTGAAATTTCAAAGCTGCTCAAATTTTCACATGATGTTTCGCGGTTCCCTTGACTCTCGATTGCCGCAATCTAACACCTGTGGATATTGGACATAAACAACAGCAGTCTGAGATAATAATTGAACTGTGGCATTTTTTAAAGCACTAACTTAAAAATTTTGCTAAGGAAAAACTTATGTAGACTACGTTAGCACTCCTGGAGGTGGGAGGCATTATCGGTCACCCTTAGACGTCTAACCTTAAGATCCCACCTTTGAGAGGCAACCTGCACTGAAATTATTTTTATTTTTAAACCAGCAGGTGTTTTATTTCATCAGGAGAACTGGGTTGAATTTTTTAATAAAATGGCGGGTCACTATACTTCTCCAGCTGGAGACTGCAGTGGCTTGCACATCTAGAATAACTCCTCATGTCTACCTAATAAGAATTGCAAGCCCTCAGAAATACATAATTTCGTTGATTGTGTACAATTCTGTCATGGGAAGTAGTCTAAAATATGTTCATGAGGTTATTGTTCAAATCTAGAAAGAGGCAAAGGTTCTCGCTAACTATTCTTAATTACGAGTCAATGTTACTGGCTGGGTCCAAACGCCGCCATTTTGTGTATGTGCGCTAATCACGCGTGCGCAGTGACAGTGCGTAATGCAATGCAACGTAATGATAAGAACAAGAGCTACAGACTTCAGTTCTTACGTGTAGTTACCTTATTCGTGCTGTTTTCCGAAGACCCTCCTCCTGGGGTGGACAGGCTTGAACTCTCCGATGTCATCCTCTACGGCTGAAAAGAGTTTATTGATAATGATGTTAGAAATTGATGAAGAGAGTGAGGGGACATAGGTTTGCTTTCTAAACCCTGCCAGCCACGCGAGCATGCGCAATGGCATCCGTCGCACTCCTAAGTATGATTACGCTAGCCTTGATTGAAATAGCTTAATTGTAGTAGAGGCCTCCGTGTGAAGGCAGGAAATGTAAAGAATCCTAGACCGTAGGTGTCTGAAATGGCTGGAATTGGTAACAACTGGTTTTACGCAGCTACATGTAGTTCCTCGTAATTTACGTCAAAAAAGCAACACAGACTCATTCAATAAGGTCCACACAATGGGTTAACTGCTTTAAATTCTCATCTAGATAGGATGATCCACAGGTAACAGCTAATTGGAGCGAATCAGTCATTATGAAAATTATGTTGCTACTTAAAAGGGTACTACGGAGCGCTATTTCACAGCCAATTTCTTTGCATAGCAAGGATATTTGAAAAACAAAGACATACTTTAAATGTACATCTTAATGAATACTGGGAATTTTCTCCCCGCGTGGTCTTTGCGATGTTAAGACTAGTCTAAAATTTTCAATTCTGTGCTGACCCTCTCCTTTCGAAACCGTCAGTGTTTCTTTTTGGGTTCTTACATATATTTGGATGTTGGGTGAGCACTTAGGGTAGTGTCACCTAAAAGTGACTCCATTCTTAGCATGACCTTGTTTTAAGCGCGTTTGTTAGCCGGCGCTACAAATTGGATCTTTGAACTCACTTGAACTGAGTTGAGGACCCTAAACAGCTACACACGGTTTACTCACTGCATATTTCAGCCAGAATGTCTTCGAACAGATCTGACAGTTTGTCGAAGTTGCTTGCATTGTAAACGTTTTTTCCTGCGATTTCTTCCAGTTGTCCTTCGAAATCTTCATATTCACCAATTCCAATGGCGGCAATGTGGACATTTTTTTCCTCCAAAGGGAAGAAAAAATATGGGCTGTTAGGGTACCCTGGGTCTCAACGAAGAATGTGAATCCCCAGGGATAGTTTAGATTACCGAGTTATTATCTACCTTTATTATATGGCTGTGTCTCACAAGGACTGGGAACTACCGAATTCACGAATTCGATTGGCTGAAATCAATATTGAAAGCGGTCTAGATTTTCCCATCTAGACCGGCATCTAGACCTGTCCAGAAAAAAAAAGGTACAAAGAATATAAAAAATTGGCATATAAGACACAGGCATATAATAAACATCTTATTAACCGAGCTAGGTCGGTCTGTATGGGAGAATCTTGACCTCGGTCGCTGGTACAGACCTCACTGCGTTTGGTCTGTACTGGCGACCTCGGTCAAGATTCTTCCATACAGACCTCCCGCTCGGTTAATAAGAACTAAGTCATCTCATTTCTCATAATCTTGGAATAAACGGTACATTCTTTATTTTGGGTGCGGCGGTTAGTCTAGAAGATAGGACACAAGTGATTTTCACAAATATTTTAAAGACTCTTTGGTTCACTCTGTCTTGCTTAAATTAAACCAGATATTCTTGTCATTTCGATTTCTCTCAAGTAATGTCGGTTCGTGGTTTCGCTCATCTCGATGACTTAACCAAAAAATATGAATTCGTCAACAGGTGGATACTACTATTTTGGCCCACTTGACTTTGTGTTCAAATGGTCATATTTGATTCTTCTGAATCATGCACATGATATCCGCATGCCGTGAAAGAATTGAAAAGCGCGCTACAGATCATCAGAAAGGGACAAATTGTAATATATATATCTTATTAACCAAGCGCGAGGGCCGTACTGGGAGAATATCGGCCCGAGGTCTTTACAGTACGGACCGAGCGCAGCGAGGTCCGTACAAAAAAGACCGAGGGCCGATATTCTTCCAGTACGGTCCCGAGCAAGCTTGGTTAATAAGAGATTTATTATACGACTGAAGTTCAAAGGGACACAAGTGCGGTATCATTCGGGACCATTCGGGACAGTGCCCGGTCCAATACTGAGAGAATATTGATCGGTAATAGAGCATTTTGATTGGTTGATTTTAGTCATTGGCCCTCTGACTGCCCGAGTCGTGTAATAAAGTGGAATTCTAACCTGTAGAAGAGGGACGATTGAAGAGAAGGGTTTTGAATTGGAATTTGACCTTCCGTCCGTCAGGAGGATCAGAGCATTTGGAAAATTCGGTCTGTCCCCTCCCTCCTCCGTAAAAAGCTTTTGTGCGGCAGTGTTCAGAGCTTTGTCTATGAAAGTATGGTCACCAAGGACGACGGATATCCCAGTGATGAAGTCGTGTACGGCTTTGTTGCTGTACAGCTTTTCGTTTGCAAAGGTGCTGAGGACCTTCGGTTTCCTGTTAAATGTAATCACGCCAGTGTGTGTTTTCTCTGGACCGATGTCTAACCCATGAACGAGTTCAAGGAGGAAGCCTTTGAGCAGCAAGAAGTTCGGCACCCCTATACTCTTAGTCTTGTCTATCACAAATGCCACGTCCATCCCTTTAGAGTTCTCACAAGGATCCGGTGCTGCGAGAAATTATCAGAATTATGAGGAGCTAGCTGTAGCCTACATGATTGCCCCAGTCTTTTCCTGGAATTCTAACGGGAATCGTGTGGCGATTCGCCAGTTATTGATTTTAATTTGCAGGTTTTCAAATGACTGCAACTTGGCTCACGGCTCTCAAGGTTCTTCGTTTCTATTCCGTCGCATGTGAAGTAACCAAATGTTCTTCTTATTTAAGTATGGCATACACTTGTAACATATTTGAAGTATCCATTATCTTTCAGTAGTAATGCATTAATGATATTTCTCAAAAATGTTAGAAAATTATCGAATCGTAAAAAGTACAAACAAGCAAACAAAACAAACAAACAAACGAACAAACAGATAATGGTTAAAAAGATTGGACGTTATATCGATCGAAAATACAGCCCAGAGCTTAAATGGAAAAGAATATCCTGCAAAATGTTTTTAAAACGGTTCTTTGCGATGCGAAGTCTCTTTGGAATAATCGAGATACTGGCCACCAGTAACTTCCATAAATTTATCTTGGCTAAATTTTTAAGAAAATATCACGAAGGAAAAAATATCCCCGTGGACCATGTACGGTCATGCATACTCACGACAGATCAAATTTCCAATGACATGGGTTGCTTCGTCGAGATTTTTATAGTCGTCCACGAAAAACAAATGTGAGCCTCCAATATAGTCAAGGACTTGATGATACTTTGGTTTTCTGGCGTCTGGGCCGATACCGACGACGACAATACGTACACCTCTCATCTTAAAAGCAAAATGAAGAGAACTATTGCTGTGAATAAAGTTATTAATTTGGGAAAGTAAAGAAACCTAAGGCCTGATGATTAAGACTGAAAAAAGAAGTTAGCAATTAACCGCTCTTTCGA